AAAAAAAAATCAAATTAAATAAATTATACTATGTAACTATTTCTAATTTTAGTTTGGGGGGGTGGGTTTAAGAAAAATCCCTGCAGGCCTGGGGAATTGTAATTCCTGTGATTCCTAATTGTATATCCTCCCCCACCCTTTTCTTTCCCTGTTTCTTTTTGCCTTTCTGCTTCTCCCTCAATGATGCTTCGGAAAAAGCCATGTTCCTCGAACCGACAGGTAACTTTAGCAATGGGAAGAAATCATGTAGGATTCTTAAATCTATTGAGTTGTTCTGTTTTGTCAGGGACTGTGCTATAAATACTTTGTTGTAGAGAGGTCTTGTAAACAGAGCTGGTAATGAAAAATAAAAGATGACCACTACTTATTTTTTGTGGGCAAAAACGTCACACTGAATCATGACCCATAAGAAAACTATCACCCAGAACAGACAGCCTGGCTATCTGCTAATTGCCTTAATTTGGAGGGGGGGAGAAAAGTTGATGTGTATATTTAAATACAATCCATTGCCCCAAGTTAAAAGAAAAAAAAATTTTCAGGCTTGGAAATTGCAGATTATAGAACTTTGACTGCTGGGTGGCAAATAAATAAAAAGAGAATGAAACGTCATTGATTTCCCCTAATTGCTGAGCAAAATAAAGCTTTAATTTTAATTCTCTTGACTGCAATATGTTGCTACCGTTGGGAGTTCTGTTGAGAATAGACATTTTGCAGTTATTAAAAAAAAAAAAGAATTCATCCTTCAGAAGTGGACGTTACTGATTGAAACCCTGAGAAGCAGTCCGATGTTTAGGATTGATTTGAAGGAGAGAATCCTCATAATTCTCTAGTCCTGGGCAACCATCTTTATTTCCCTCAGGAAGTCTGCCTGATGGGTACGGCCAAACAGCCTGAAATATGCTGGAAGACCTATTGTCTTGTTTTTATAAATCTTTTAAAGAAGATACCAAGAAGGCAAAACGGGGAACTGGAGGGCAAGGATGTGTGTGTTACTCGAAGATGGTTCCTCTTATTCCAGCATTGTTACTTTGACAGTTTGGGGAGAAGAGGAGAGCTTGTGGTTAGAAATACCACACTCACATAAAGGTGAGTGTGGAATTTCACAGATTTGGATGATAAGTCATCCAAAAACATCTCTGCTTGATCTGGTATATTTTGATTGGGTTTGAAAAAGAGAAGGTATGGGGATATAGAGGGCTTCGATGTGTATAGGGAAAAAGTCCTTTCCTTCCCCCAGATCAGTGGTCTCCAACCTTTTTGGCACCAGGGACCAGTTTTGTGGAAGACAGTTTTTCAGCGGATGGGGTTGGGAGGAGGAGAGTGCCACCTAGATCCCTTAAATGTGCAATATACAGTAAGGTTCGCAGCCCTGTGAGAACCTAATGCCTGATGATCTGAGGGGGAGCTGAGGCGGTGATGCTAGCACTGGGGATTGGCTACAAATACAGCTTTCTCGCCCACCCCTCACCTTCAGCTGTGCGGCCCAGTTCCTAACAAGACACAGAGCAATACTGGTCTATAGCCCAGATGTTGGGGGCCTCCAGATCAGAGGTCTCCAACCTTGGCAACTCTAAGCCTGGCGGACTTAAACTCCCAGAGGTCCCCAGCCAGCAAGCTGACTGGGGAATTCTGGAAGTTGAGGTCTGCCAGGCTTAAAGTTGCCAAGGTTGGAGACCCCTGATCTAGATGATATTTGTGCAGTCATGTTAGCCTTTCCCAATTGTTTTCATCAGCTTGACGGTGCACTTATTGGATTTAAATATCAATCCTCTGTTCTCCAAGTCTTGATGTTGTCATATCTACCTCTGTTTCTGCAGGGCTGATGGCCGAAGGTGGTCACTCGCCTCATTGCCCTCATCCGGCTATGGGACCAACACTCCCAGCTCCACTGTTTCAGTAAGTAGAGTAAATCTGGCATCTTATTATAGGCAGATTCCATGCTAAAGTGAGTCAGATTCATATTTTCTGGTGTAGCAAATCTAAGATTATCAATGTAGTTCATGTACTGTAGAAAGTAGGAGACTGAAAAAGGGTGAGCTACATGTAGTCTATTAAGACAGACCCTTCTTTAGTGATGGGATGAATGGCACCTAGCAATAACCTGTTTTTCATCAAGTGAGGTCCTAATACCACTCTATAAAGCCCTAGTAAGACCATACCTAGAGTACTGTATCCAGTTTTAGTCATCACAGTATAAAAAAGATGTTGATATTCTAGAAAGAGTGCAGAGAAGAGCAACCAGATGATTAGGGGACTGGAGGCTAAAACGTATGAAGATGTTTTGCAGGAACTGGGCATGGCTAGTCTAGTGAAGAGAAGGACCAGAAGAGACATGATAGCAGTGTTTCAACATTTGAGGGGCTGCCACAGAGGGGGTCAAGCTATTTTCCAAAGCACCTGAAGGCCAGACAAGGAATAATGGATGGAAACTGACCAAAGAGAGATTCAACCTGGAAATAAAGATACATTTTCTGACAGTGAGAGCAATCAACCAGTGGAACAGAAGTTGCCTTCGGAGGTTGTGGGAGCTTCATCACTGGAAGCTTTCAAAAAGAGACTGGACTGTCATCTGTCAAAAACGGTGTAGGGTGTCTTGCTTGGGTAGGGTGTTGAACTAGATGACCTACAAGGTGCCTTCCAACTCTGTTAATTTGTAATCTTGTTTTCCTGGAAATATTCATTTCATACCTACTTTCCTAAGGTGGGAATTAACCTAGCTTGCTAGAATTTTTTTAAGTTGGTGCTGTTGAACTGTTCTTACTTCTGCTTTCACTAGCTGTCTCAAGTATTTGCTAGAAATGTGACAACTTATCAGCATCAGAAATAAGGCTAAACGTATCATTCCAAAGAAAATTTGGTTCTGCGGCTTGGTCCCTGTAATAGGAACACAAACCTGTAATTTAAACTCTCAGTGGCTTTTTAAAAAAAAAAAAACACTGCCAGGCTAAGAGGATATTGACAGAGGTCTAGAAGTTGCTTGCAGAAGTGCTGGTGGCCGAGATAAAGAGGCCCTGTAGAAACCAAGGCTTAGACGTATGTAAACTTTACAGTTGCCAGAGTTAACATAGGAAGAGCTTATCTTCCTATGAAAGGAAGTGGCTTTTTTCACTTTATTTCTTAAATACCACATTTCCCCCTCCCTCAGTTTTTCCAGCTGCCTGTTTATTCTGAAGCGCTTCTGCGGATATTAAACTATTCCATGATGATTGTTGTCAGAACAAGGGTTACTCACCTTCCTTCTCATGCTGGTCTCTCATTTTCTCTCCCCTCCTTGTCCAGTCATCGTCTTCCTCCTCTCAGGAGCGTCTCCACCAACTGCCCTACCAACCTACGCCTGATGAACTGCACTTCCTTTCAAAGCACTTCCGTAGCACCGAAAGCGTCCCGGGAGAAGACGGGCCCCATTCGCCCTATTCCCGTCCTCGGGCCCGCAGCTTGAGGTATTCTTGGCTTTGGACGGGCGTCTCTTCTTTAGGTGGTTCGGAATGACACTTCTAATGAAAGTAGGAGAAGGCTCTACAAGTCCTCCTCACTTAATGTCTGGTCACTTAGCAACTTTCTCTTAGGAAGAGAAAGAGAGGATGTCATGCAGGCATTCTTTTTCAGCTGAGAGGAATTGAAGATATATGTGGAACATCATCCTTGCAGAAATAATAACCCCCACCCCCACCCCGGACATTCTTTCAAAAAGCATGAAGACATGGTTTTGCCAGCAAGCCAGTGACCCCAGGGTACTATGGAGCCCACCGAGTGCTTGGTCCAATTGTTGTTGTCAGGGGTATCGTTATTCTTTGTCAACCATGAAAGACAGGGAAGGGCTTTTGACTATACAGGTAGTCCTCACTTAGCGACTTCTTGTTCAGCAACCATTCGAAGCCGGTCCTTGAAGTTGTGGCTGTCGTAGTGTCTCCACATTCATAAGATCATGATTGGGGCACTTAGCAACCAGCACACAGAACCAATGATCACAGCTTCCCACAGTCACCTCATCACCACTTGTGATCTTCACTGCAGCTTCCAATAAGTCAAGTCAGTGAGGAAACCAGTTACCACCTGATGTTGTGCTTAATGACTGCACATGATTCCTTAACAGCCACAACCTGAACTGTCATTGTACACTGAAGAGCTCATTTAATTTCATTGTACAAGGTGCAATGACAATAAAGTAAACTAACCACTCAACCTTGCAATGGAAAAATACAAAAGGTACTTATGACTTGATCCCAGAGTTCCAGTCGCAGTACATGCACACGCCCTCCCAGGGTCACATGTCTGTATTTGCCAATCAGCTCACCTTTACTGCTTGGCTGCAGCATTCCATAGTCACGTGACATGATTTGCGGCCATTTTTACAGCAAAAAATGACGATAGGTATGCATTGACTCTCTTCACGATCGCAGTGTTTGCTTAACAGCTGCCATTTTTGCTTTTCGGCCACTGTGTTCATTTTTACAACTGAAGCAAAAAAAAGGTAATCAAATTGGGCCGTGGATGCCTCAACTTATGACCATCATAATTTACAACAGAAATTCTGGGCTCTGTTGCAGATGTAAGTCGAGGACTACCTGTGTTATGTGTATTGCACAGGAAGGAATTTATACAGGAAAACATAGCCGTTCTTATCAAACGTCTTAAAGGTTCACTCATTTTACCCCTTACAAGGCATCCATTTTGCACCCGAACTTTCTAACCCTGATTTTTTTTTAAAAAAGCGAACGTACTTGAACTGCACTTTCTTCTCCCCTGCTCCAGTGTAGCAGAAGGAGAACAATCTCTTCTTTATCACTTGTTTCCTAAGAGTTTTTGAGACACTGTCTATTACATTTCTTCACCTAGATTGAGCAATAAATCACAGATTGGGCAATTCATGACATAACTGGCCTCCTCCGCTTGACTTGGCTGAAAACTGTCTTCTTCTGCCCTCAACCTTCCCCAGCATTAGGCTCTTCTTCAGTGAGTCCTTCCTTCTCATTAGGTAGTCAGAGTATTTGAGTTTCATCTCCAGGATCAGGCCTTCTAAAGACCAGTCGGGGTTGATCTCCTCTAGGACTAGTGTAAATCCTAGATTGTAGTTTAAGCTAGTCACTACATAAAGGTTCTCTGACTTATAGTTAGATTATTGTCAATTTACAGCCCTGACACATTCAAAAGATGAGAACCATGGCTAAAGAAAGAAATTTTGGGGAAACACGAAATCTTGAGCATTACTAAACCTCTCTTTTACTTCCTGATTCCTGCCTTGCTTGAGTTCTTAGGACATGTCCTCAGCAGTTGCCTCTTCTTTTCACAGCCCTGGGCGGACAAGTGGGATCTTTGACAATGAGGTGGTAATGATGAATCATGTATACAAGGAGAGATTCCCAAAGGTAAGACTCTGTGAAGAAGCGAGCAGGGGAATTTTCTTTTATCTCTTAGAATGAATGAACCATAAACCCATAGATTTAGCTTAGAATGATCTGTAAGCCTTGCTAAAATCTAGATCCAGCACTGTGGCTCCACATCCCAGGGAACTGAAAGGAAATAAATTATATTTAATTGTATTTTTAAAAGCATTGGGTACAAGAGTCACAAGAGTACTGTGCTTCTATGGTTTTCATCTCTTTTTCCAGCGGTTGGAATTTTGTAGAAATTTAAGAAGCATGACTTTGTTGAAGTAAAGCATGTTTTAATGAGAGAAAGACGTATGAAAACCTTCCAAAGGAAAGACATTTCACTGTGCTGGTGCCTCCGGCAACATATTTCAGAAGGAAATATGTGGCACTTCATTCCCTTCTCTTGCACTTCATGTTTATTTTTACAAGTAGCTTGCATGAATGTTGGAAGGATGCAAGAGAAACAAAAGATGGAGCGGAGATTTGCTCATGAGCCTTTTCGTTCTTCTGAGACGGGGTCAGCACTGAAAATTGTATGTTGATCCCAGCTGAAGCTTCTGGATCGCCCGGTCATTCTGCTTTTCTCCCTCTTTCCCCTCCCTTCAAAGGCCACTGCCCAGATGGAAGAGCGCCTGGCAGAGACAATTGCTGCTTTCTCGCCCAGTAGCATCCTCCCTTTGGCTGATGGCCTACTGGGATTCATCCACCACCAGATCATTGAACTGGCCCGTGACTGTCTCAACAAGTCCCAAGGGGCCCTCATTACCTCCCGCTATTTCATTGAACTGCAGGAGAAGCTGGAGAAAATGCTAAGAGATGTGAGTACCTCTGTTGTTTCTCTTTTGCCCCAGACTTCTCTGGTGAGTTTTTCCTCCATAATGCTGATGAGTTCTTCATCCTGCTCTCTGCCAGGCTCAGGAGCGCTCCGAGAGTGAGGAACTGCACTTCATTGAACAGTTGGTCCGTAAATTACTGCTCATCATTTCCCGGCCAGCTCGGCTGCTGGAGTGCTTGGTAAGGATGAAGCCCGACTTGTCTCCTATACTCAGCCTAAACTGGATGGGAAGGGACAAAGGGTTACAGGATCGCCATCATCTTCTAGACCAGTGATGGCTAACCTTTCCTGGGCAAAGTGCCCAAGGTGTACGTGCGCGTCTGTGCAAGCGTGCCTGAACCCCCAAAATGCAATGAGCGCACCCTCATGCATGTGCCCCCCCCACATGTCACACCCACCACCATGCAAACACACACGCCCCTCCGCACACACCCCATCCCCTGCGCATGCACAGCAGAGACCCAAAGACCAGCTGGCCAGTGGGAGGCACACGCGCATGTGCGGCGGAACTGACTGGGGCGACGGCTCACATGCCACCAGAGAGAGCGCTGCGTGCCACCTCCGGCACACGTGCCATAGGTTTGCCATCACGGTTCTAGAGTATGGGTGTCGAACTCATGGCGTCATGTTGCCGTCACGGGATGTATCGCAACATTTTTTCCCTTTGCAGAGTTGGGGTGGGTCTGTGCATGACACATCTGCTTGCCGGCCACCAGTTTGACACCCCTGCTCTAGAGCAAGAACAAGCTTTTAGAGGTCATTTTTCTGCTGAAGCTCTCAAGTAGAACCCCAAAGCTCTGTATGGAACAGTAGAGGTGGCTGCCAGAGTGGCTTGAGCTGTAAACCAAATGCTAAGGCCGAGAGTGAATGTGGACTGAAGCTTCCCCTTGATCCCTGTGGGTCAGATTGAAGATCCATTATGTAATCAATCATTTGACAATGGCCAGCCAGATCCCCCTAGAACAAGGGTCTCCAAACTCAGTAACTTTAAGACTTATGGATGTCAACTTCCAGAATTCCTCATCCAGCCGTGCTTGCTGGGGAATTCTGGGAGTTGAAGTCCATAAGTCTTAAAAGTTGCCATCTTTGCAGAACCCCTAACCCTGGAGCAGGGTAAAAAGGTAACAGCCTTGCTTTTCTTCTCTTACTGCTACCATTATTTGTTACTATAAAGCTGGAAGATCCATGTAGACTTCATGGCGATTTGATAGATCTCTTCTGCAATTTGAGAATGCAGCCCCATTCTGCATGTCCCTAAAACAGTTCCTGGAGCCTTCTGAAACCGAGCTAAAATTAAACGTGCATGGTTCCAGCCATTTTTCTAAAATTTAAATTTTGAGCATCCCTTACTTAGCCTATAGGGACATGGTGGCTCAGTGGCTAAGACCCTGAGTTTGTCGATCAGAAAGGTGGGCAGTTCGGCGGTTCAAATCCCTGGCGCCACATAACAGAGTGGGCTCCCGTTACTTGTCCCAGCTTCTGCCAACCTAGCAGTTGGAAATCATGTAAAAATGCAAGTAGAAAAATAGGGACCGCTTTGGTGGGAAGGTAACAGCGTTCCGTGCGCCTTTGCTGTTTAGTCATGCCAGCCATATGACCACGGAGATGTCTTTGGANTGATGGGGAAAAAGTGATACAAGCATTGTGTTTCTAAGCATCCAAGACACTGTTATTTAATGCCCAGAGCCTTAGGACATGCAGCTGAAATCTAATGCTTACGTACTTCTACAACAATGCACTAAAAACTATTTTCAAAAAACATAATGAAAACAACATTTCATCAAGAATAAGCACACACACACAGAATACCCCCTCTGCTCTTTTGATTTTAGACATAGACTGACATTGTGTAAGAACATGGTTTAAATAATAAAGTGCTTCTGAATCACATTATTTTTGCAGGAGGGTAAGTACCTCTGAAATCTGTTGTACTGAAATTAAGCTGACTTTGCTTCCTTCACTTTGGCTAAATTATGGCTCGTAAGGACAAAAGGAACAGAGATCTTTAACAAGGAAGAACCCTAATGTTTGTTGAATCTACCACGGGGCACTCCATTTCTGAAGATAGCTAGGTAACTAGATATTTAGCTAGATACATAGCTAAACTGATATTGGGATAATTGAAGCAGAACTGCAACTCAGCCTCATTTAAGGGTTAGCATTGCTCAAGAGCAAACGGAGTTAAAAGGTTAGAAAACTAGATAGGACTGTTGTCAGCCTGGCCGAACCTTGTAGCTGTATTTAGAGTATAGCTTTGAACTAGATAGGCTTTAAATGTACTTCAATCCTTCTCGTCCCACTCTTACGCATCCTTTGCTGGCGCACCTTGATCAGCATACAATTTACTGACTATTGTAGAAAGTGTGTCTAATTTATCTGCTCAATTGTCTTCTGGAGTTATGCACTTTTCTATCCTCCGTGGGTAAACAGCTAAAAAAAAAACCTCATTTATCGGTAGAAGAGAATATTTGTAGCTCAGGATTGAACTGCTTTCAAAGACCATAATGCAACATCTATAATCTATAGCACTCATATACAAACCAAAGTATAAGATCTGGTATGTAGATGACACCTTTGTTATAATAAAAAAGGACCAACAGGAGAAGACACATGAAATATCAATATCTTTAAAGAAATGAAACTCACAAGGGAAAAACCCCGGGGAGGGGGGGAGAATACCATGGTACCCTTCCTCATCAGCAGAGGCAGTGATGGCAAATTAGAAACACAAGTCCATCATAAAATTACCCACACCAATCAAGTGCACCACTATCAAAGTAACAATCCACAAGACAAATTGTATTGAGAACCCAATATAACAAAACCAATAGAAGCTGTGAAAAGGATAACCCTGCCATACATCAAAAACCACCAATAGACTTTTACAATCCAATGGAATCCGTGCAGCAGATCAACCAACTGAAGCCTTCCAAAACATTCTAAGTAAACCAAAAGACCCAACAGCCCGGTAATAAAAAAAAATGAGTCTCTACAAAAGAAGGCGTGATGAAAACGCCTTAATTTCACAGCACATGAACTGACTTAATCTTAGTTTCAAATGGGAAACTGTCAGCATCCTAGGCGAAGCCCTGTCTAAACATTCCAGAGAATTCCTGGATGCCTGGCACTCAGGTAAATCAGCATCAACAAGCATGTAAAGATAAACAACATTTACATACCATTCAAAACAGGCAATCAAAAAGCCAAAAGCAAAGCAAAAAGACCAAAACTCCTCCTCACCAGCAATCAATACTCAGATGAGCAGAGATTAACACGGCATTAACAGGCAAGAAGTAAACAGTACCCCAATCAAGGAATTACTCAGACAAACAAACATAAACAACAGTCTAATTAAGGAACCATCAAGATTACTCCCTTCCACACTGACAGGGAACACCCTAGCGCAGTGAGTGCCAAAATTGTGCATGCACGCGCCCCACACCCACAATGCAATGCAC